CTACCTCTTCCACAGCCTAACATAGAATTGTCTTGTGCCGATACTTGTTGTAAATGGGTTTCTGGTCGAGTATTTCTTCCCCTTCCTCGACCCTTACTTCGACTTCGTGTTTCGATTGTCATAACGTTTTCCGGGTCCTTTTCTTGGTTTATCATTCCTTTTCCCCGTCCTCCATAACCAGTAGATGTCCTTCCCGATCGATCAGGATTATCTGCCATCTTTTCTTAGTATTCGAATTACTTTAACGTCCTTCCTGTAACAATAAACACACATACGATTATTCATATATCAAAGTATGATAACACGTTTACCCATGGGTCTATTTGTAACTCACGATTACATCAATCACATGTAATCTAACTTTATCATACTTATTCTCATAATAGGTTCAACTATAACATATTCCCATGTTTATAGTCCCAGTGAAACCTATTATCACATATTCCACACCTCTAGTTTAAGTCTAAGTATTAAGAAAATACCCAAATCCCTTAAACTAAGGCTCTGATACCAACTGTAACAACCCACAATTCCAACCATCGTATAATTCACAACAATCGTTCATAACTTAACATCAGTTGAAGTATAACCCAAACATTAGATTGTTTGCAAAATGAGAGAAAATTATGGGTTAACAAAAACTTTGTCTGTTACAATACAAACATCTAAATATCACTTCATATATTTTTCCCTTGCCTTTGTCTTGTGATGATAGATGACCTACAAAACAGATTAGTCCAATAATTGAGCGTTAGACCAAAAGGTCTAGTGAGTGTATCCTTCTCATACAAACAACATATTTTTCAAAATCCAAGATTGTAATAAACCTGGACATTTTTACATGTATCATTTCATCAGTTATTTAACACGGTGACACCGCCATTTCCTCTTCAATAAAAATTCTTATAATATAATATCACCTAATATGATAAAATTCGGTCAATACCTATTAGTAATCCGGTCAACATAGTTGGAGATGAAATCCGGTCAACATAGTCGGAGATGAAATCCGGTCAACATAGCCGGAGATGAAATCCGGTTTAGGATGAGACCGGTCAATACTTCATCCGGTTTAGGATGAATCCAGACGACACTTTATCCGGTTTAGAATGAATACGGACAATACTTCATCTGGTTTAGGATGAATCCGGACAATGCTTCCTTCGGTTTAGGATGAATCCGGACAATGCTTCCTCCGGTTTAGGATGAATCCGGACAACGCTTCATCCGGTTTAGAGTGAATACGGACAATAGTTCATCCTGTTTAGGATGAATCTGGTCAAGAGGTTGTTTAATTCATAACAAGCTATATTCAGAAGCAATTGTATCATATCCATATGGTTATTATGCAAGTAGAAAGCCATTTAAACTCACCTGACCAAAAGGTCTGTTTGAAATGTGATTGCTTCTTCTATCCGGAGATAATAAATTGCATAGAGACTTTTCTAATGTCAAGTGATCCAAAAACTTTTTCCTTTCCCTTGTACTTGCTATATATAGCTAGTACATAACCGACCCCCGCTTTTTCCTTAATAAAATAATCCAACACACATACTCACAAAATTTATTTAAACACATTTTAGTATTTGACATAATTCTTAATATAACCGAACATTACAATTAACTGCCACCTTAGGGTCACTTAGGATAAGGTTGACATGCCACACAAAAGGCCCTCACCTCTTGTGATAAGTGGAAACGAAATTGAGCACACTCAAATTCATAAATTTTTATTCAATCATAAGCCTCGAACTTTAAAAGGGGTGTAATAGTCAAAGCCAAACCCCTCTAAAAATCCTAGAAACTTAGGAAACTAGGGTGGCGTTTGGTTCACAGATTCTGAAGGAATCTGATATAATTGGAATGTTGAATTCCTTTGACCACATTCCATTCCCTTGTTTGGTTCGTTCTTTTTACTGGAATGAATCTTTAAATTCCATCAAATTCCATGAGGGATTTTGACATTCCATGAGAGATATATGGTATTTTAATGGAATGGAATTTAACTTGTTCATAATTCCCAAAATACCCTTTAACCCCAAATATACCCTAATATCTTTCGCAACCGACACCTTTTCTCATCGATATGGAAAACTCTCGAGAACATCTCGTCTTCTCCATTGCAACACCAGGGTTTGATTTCGTCTATCACGCAGGTTCGATTTCGTCTCACCACAAGTTTGAAAATACTCTCTCGTCTTCTTCATCAGCTTTCTTTGTGATTTACGAGATTTATTGTTCGGTTTATGCTTCGATTTTTGTTTGATTTTAGTTCGTTGGTTCGATTTATCATTTCAATTTGTTTATGCTTCAATTTGTTTGATGCTGTATGGTTCGATTTATGCTTCACCCTGCTCTCTCGATCTATGGTTTGTATGGTTTCGATTTCTAGATGTGGTGTGGCATCTGTTTGCTATATTGATTTCCAGATGCTATATGTGTTTTTGCAAGGGTGTTTTAGTCATTTACCATAATTCCATTCCAATTCCAAAGCTACATTATGTGAACCAAACAAACATACTCCAATTCCTTTAACAGATACCATTCCATCCAAAAACATTCTGCAAACCAAACGCCACCTAGATGAAACCAACTTGCTTAGGAAACCGTGAAAAATAACTAACCTTCTAGGATAAGGAGATAAGAACGAAAGATGATAACCAACTAAATAACCAAACGTAACAAGGAAACTTCAAAAAAAATCTAATCTTCTAGAAAAGACAAATAATTAAGGACTTATTGATCACTTAATTCTAACAGTCTTTATTGAATATAACGGTGTCGCCACACACAGTTGCACACAAGTCCGACTCTGTCTCTATTGCACCTGCATCAGGGGTGGGATATATGCAGACCTGACTTCTACCCTAGGGAGCAGAGCGGCTGTTTCCGTGAAGGCCCCCCTGCTTGTGCAAAGTGCCCGGGAAAAATATAAGATATAAATAATTACGGCTCGTTACCCTACCCCCATTCTCTGTCATAACCAAGTAATAATTACGTAAAATTATTTTTAATCTGGTTGTGTCTATTTTCTATTTTTTAAAGTGCTTCTGATTGGCACAATTAGATCCTGAATACTTTTTGATGATAAAAGTATTCATAGGGTTAATTACTTTAAATGATGTTGATGATAAACATGAGCTAGTAGCACAAGACATCTTACTTCATGTTCATAATGGTTTAGGTTGCCTCTTATATCAATAAGGTAAAGGAACAAATCGTAGATATTTTTTTCTCATAGTCAATCTCTGTGTCTCTTTCTCATTTTTGTCTCTCTCTCTCTCTCTCTCTTGTCTTTTTACATATTCCCAACGTAAGGCCCCCTGGTTCAAGAATCTCTTCTAAAACTCCCAAAGTCCTTGGTTGATTACTCCTTTGCACTCTAAGTATTATACTTTTAGTTATTTAATTACTTTATTATTAAAGAGTTCTATACTTAACTAAACAGCAATAACATTTTTTTTACCCCAACATAGTCGGGTAATGCTGAAAAAGTAAAAATGAAACCCAAAAGAGGTGAAAAGCCAAATGAATATCTAAGGAGGCGACTCGGAAAGGCTTTGGTATATGTGTAGCATCCTTCACCATAATCTCTAAGGAGATGGATCAAATTAAGTTAGCTTAGACTTGGGTTTATTAGCCTCAGCCTATTACAGCCATTTATGAAACCACTCTCTGAAACCCCATACCTTAAATACTTACCCTGTATCAGCCCTCTAAGTCACAGTCTCTGAAAGCTACCTTGACAGCCCTTGTATCTTTAGTTTCAAGCTTTCATTCTGCTCTGTTTTTGTTCTGTTCTGTTCTACATCCACCACCTGGATCTATCCAACTACCTTGTTTCTCGTCGCCATTCTTGTCTCTGCCACTTCCTGATTCCACATCCAACTTCTTGAAACCTCTTTGAGCTATGCTGACCTGACCCACCATTGTGCTGTTTGTCGTAGCCCTTCAAGGTTGTCAACCTCTGACTACAAATTCTTTTCTTGTCGCACCTCAGCTGAGCTATGAACCCTGTTTTATGCTCATTTCAGCATATTTGACTCGGGCTGGATCTATTTTTACTTGATCCTGATATATGTCCATTAATTCCACAATGTTTAATTATCTTTTGCACTTTCCTGAAATTTAAGCAACGGTTGCTAAGCCAAATTGTTTGGATACCATTTTGCAACTTTTAGAAAATGCAGGTACTGTTTTTGAAAATCTGGAAGGGTCAGGGTGCCATTATGAAAATAAAAAAATATATTTAGGGTTTGGTTTTTAAAATTGAAAAGTTCAAGAATTTGTATTCAGGTATAGAACAACAATCATCTTATCTCTTAACCTGTCCAATCCACATGTTCTGGAACTTTCTACATGGATGTTCTTCTATTCTTCTCTCCATCTGTTTCTGTTTCAGTCAAGGCACTTCCTTCATGTTTTAGCTTGTTTTTCTCTCTGAGATATTCTGCCACCGTTCTCTTTGTTCCATTTTTATATTTTAACTGTGATCCCTTAAAGTAATTTGGCAGCTTCCGAGTATCATTGTAATATTTTTAAGAACCATGGAGAACAAGTTAAGAGAGTCATTAGGTACCTGTAATATGTCAACGATAACCCCTTACATGTTGAATTCTGTTTCCATCCCGTTACATGCAACAATCCATGTCAAACTGTTAGACTCTATGTTGAACACTTGAACCTGTTACCTATGCCGATAGATGTCGAACTTATTTCCTGTCCCAACCTGTTAGATCTTTCAGCTTAATGAAATACATCCAGATGTTGGCACTCTACCCCTGCATCTGCATTTCTGCTAATTCATCTCTTGTATGTCTTTTGGTGGCACCATATTATTTACTTAATTATATGTGAATATTTATTCTCTGGCTGTCATTCATATGAGAAACTTAATTATTTACTTAATTATATGTGAATATTTATTCTCTGGCTGATACATTATTTTAGTACCATATTTTCTTGGTTGATATTTATCAGCTCCCTCTTAATTCTTGCAGGTGTATCTCAAAAAATTCATTTTTCATTTTTGAAATGCTAAAGGTAATTTTATCTGGATCTAATTGTTCTTTAGTTATCCCTTCCTCCATTTTTGGCTTATTGCTTTCAATTTTTTTCTAATAACTATTTTTGGCATTGATAGGTTTGATGAAAGGACTATTGTTTTTCTGCATTGTGTTTTCAGGCATTTGAGCCCCCTGTTGATATGAGCCAAGATGATGATTGCTGCGAACATCAGGGTAATGGTTCATGCGATCATCTTCTCACAGGAGATAGGGATCCCTGCTCTTGTGAATCTGCCTCAGTAAGCGGAAGAGTGCATTCTTCAAAATCTGGTGAAGCTTGGGGTGGGAATGAGGTACATGCTATAATTTATATATTTGGATCCTTGAAGGTGGTGAAAGTAAATGACCAATGTGTTTCTTGAATAGCTGTTGTTAATCTCTCATTCTTTCCTTACTTCTGTTCATACTGATATTCATATTGAATTTACAGGAGGAGAAGAATGAAAATTGCTGTGAGCCAGAGTCTGGAAGCTTTCCTGTAGGTGTAGAGGGCAAAACAAACACTCATAAAGGTGGTTGTGACAATGTTACAGATGTCAAGGACCAGGACGTCTCTGATCCTACTGATTCCAGTAAGGATGTGAGTGTATTTTTTTTTTTGTTTTCCTTGTTCCAATATTCATTTATCTCTTGTAACATTTCTAGTAGACGTTGAAAGATTTGTAGACTACATACAGTAGAGATGTTAGACGAAGTAAAAACACGGTCTTTTAACAGATATCAAAAACTCAAACTACGGTCCTGAGATAGTTCATATGTTTCTTTTTTCCCTTCCGGTTTTCATATATTCTGAACAGCATCTAACAGTTGGTTAGCTATATGTATTTTCTTCTTTGTTTGGTTGTTGTGAAATTGTATGTCTTTTATTTAGATTTGAGTTGTAGATTTAATTAAGATGTTTTGGCAATGTTGTAAGCATGTTCTATCATGTAATGGGGTTTACACTGTAACCCTTCAAATCACAGAAAATTATGTAGGAGCACAGAAGATTTTAATAACTATGTTTATATTATTATGTACTTTTATGTTTGTGATGTCAACTGGGGTCTATTTGGTGAGAGTGCCATCTGACCACCACCATGGAATTTTTTATTGTTGATATTTTTATAGTATCTCTCACTCGAGTGGGATGATGTATTTTCCATCTGCTTTTTCTTCCAAGCCTCCCCATGAGATGGATGAGTTGTTACGAAGGCAAGTTGGTAGTTTGGTATTTCTGCTTATGTTTCATGAATTGTAAAAGATTTCTGTGCAATAACTTTTTCTTTTCTTTATTGTTAAAATAAATGTTGCATGACACATAGGTTCTCTGAGTGCAACTTACACATGAATTTACATGGATTTTTTCTGATACTGTCAACATTTTAAGTTGATATCATGCAATATTTTACTCGATTGTTGGAATTATATATAGCATATTAGCTCATAGAGGAATAGATTATTGGATCCTTTCTACTTCTTGATTCCCCCTCTTATTCTGTTGGTTGATCATGTGATGTTTGTTAGTTGCTATCGTTCAGTACCATCAACGTGTATTTAATAATTATGGTTTTCTTGCTGTTATATTTTCAGATATCTTCTGTACATCCTGAATCTCCTGATAGGTTAGATTCAATGCATCATTTCCATGTCCCTCTAGTGGATGTTGATAAGGTATATTTCTCTTCTTTGGCTTGCCTCTCTTGCTGTTTTAGGTTTATATAACTACAACGATGGCTGGTATGAGAAACACACCAGTTATGGCATGGCAAGATTACCATGGACTGTAGCATTCCATCTGTAGTTTTAAAGTCAAGGAGGTTTTCCCCCGTCAATTTATCTATGTTATAATCCCATAAATTTCATGAGATACACAATCCTTTATTGAATTATCTCTTCACTCGTGCTGTATTTTGGAAAGGAATGCTCCTTCAGACTTTGGTATTTTCAGTAAGTTGCATAAACTGATAATGATTAATTACATCAAGGGAATTAGGTCATTTAGAAGCGTGATGAGTTGATCATAGGAACTGCTTAAGATAGAAACAGTCAAATTAGACCATTGGCTTAATATATTAAAAGTTGAGCTCCATGTGACGGGGATTTCATTTGTTTCCAAGAGTCTGAATAACCTAAAACTGCTTCGTAAGGGCCTCAAAGAAACATGTATCTGTCATGAGATGTGTATTTGTATATAATCAAATATACAATTGTTACATCTGCATTGGAACTTGTTAAAGACGACTGAATTGTAGTTATGTTATAAAAGTTTTAGAGAAGTAGAAGGAATATTATTTTCTACTATTTGTTGATTACAGCATAAGGAACTATATATACAAGTAGAGGTTAGGAGATAGACTACAACTCCTAAAAATATGGGATAAGCACTTATCTACAAACGTTTCCTTATTAAAGTCTATCTATAACTCTCCATTAATCCATATCCGATTACTATTCTACAATCCCCCTCAAGTTGGATGGTATATGTTATACAATCCAAGCTTGCCTTTTAACATGTTGAATAGTGGTAAACTTAGCGCTTTAGTGAAGATGTTGGCCACTTATTGAGTAGTATAAGGGTACGAGACTTTCAAGATTCCGTTCCTTGATAAAATGCCGATCCACCTCAACATGTTTTGTTCGATCATATCGAACTGGATTATGTGTCATGGCAATAGCAGCTTTATTATCACACCAAATAGTCATCGGGTGTAGTACTTGGATTCATAGTTCACTCAATAATCTTCTTAGCCAGAGTGCTTCACATACACCTAGGGCAGTAGCTCGTAGTTCGGCTTCAGCACTGCTTCTTGAGACCACTACCTGCTTCTTGCTCCATGTGACAAGGTTGCCAAACACATAAAAACAGTAACCCGAGGTAGAATGCCAATCAGTTTGACAACTTGCCCAACTTGCATCTGTGAACACTTATACACTTTAATTGTCTTGTTTCTTAAACAGTAAACTATGACCTGATGTTCCTTTAAGATACCGTAGGATTCGGTGAGCAACATCCAGATGGCATTGGGATGATGAATGCATGAATTGGCTTACATAGTTGGTGCAAAAGTAATATCAGGCCTGGTATGTGCGAGCTATATCAATCGACCAACAAGATGTTGGAATCTCCCCTGCTGGAATTGTAGAACTAGCTTCAGGCTTTACAGGAGAATCCATAGGAGTAGAGGAGGGCCAAGATCCGAGCATCCCGGTGTCTTTGAGCATGTCCAAGGTATATTTATTTTGAGACAAGCTAATCGTAGATTTCGTTCTTGCAATCTCCATTCTGAAGAAGTACCGTAATGGACCAAGATCTTTCATTTCGAAGGAGCGAGCCAGATGGGCATTGATGTTTGCTATGGCCACTGCATGATCTCCCGTAAGTATAATGTCGTTGACATATAGGATTAGGATAGCGACCTTACCATGATCTTTAAGGTGTAAAAGAATGTGATCGACATGGGCTTGAGCATACCCAACTTGTTTAACTGTATGAGTGAACCGAAAAAACATGCTTTCGAATACTGTTTGAGACCATAAATGGCCTTTTTGAGACGACAAACTTTATGGCTGCCATTTGGACCATGAAAGTCGGGGTTACAAGTCCATGTAGACCTCCTCATGGAGGTTGCCATTTAGAAATGCATTTTTTACGTCTAGTTGATGAAGAGGGCAATCGAAGTTGGCAGCAAGTGAGAGGAGAACTCGGATGGTATTAATTTTGGCAACCAGGGTAAATGTCTCCTAATAATCGATTCATTTGTCTGGGTGTAGCCTTTTGCTACTAACCGAGCCTTGTATCTATAAATAGAGCCATCACTTTTGTACTTAACTGTGAACACCCATTTACAGCAACTGTGGTCTTATCGTGCGGGCGTTCAACCACTACCCATGTACCATTTCTTTGAAGGGAACGAAGCACTTCAAATATTGCAGCCCGCCACTTACTGTCTTGCAAAGCTTCATAAACATTGGTTGGTTCTTGTGTTAAAACAGATTCAAAACAAGAGCCTTCATAGGTAGGGCTAGATTAGCATAGCCAAGAAAATTGGAATTAGGATGTTGAGTGCAAGAGCATGTACCTTTTCTGAATGCAATCGGTACATCAAAATCATATTTCGAAGGCAACTCTTGGTGTACCTTAGACTTTGGAGTAACTCCTTTTCTTCGGCTGTATGTGATTGTGAAGGACTTGACGTGGCTTGTAGGTTTTGCGACAGGTTGTGGGGTAGTTGGTGATGGAGAGATTGAGTCGGCTGTTCCTGGAATTGTGGGTTATGTGAGGTGATTGGAGAATCGGATGCCCAGAATTGTTCCCAACTTTCGGCTCCTATAGGATGGGATACTTCGGCTCTCTGTTTAGATTGAGGAGAGTAATAGAATTGATCTTCAAGAAAGGTGACATCGTGTGAAACGAAATATTTTTATTACTTTGGACAGTAACATTGATACCTTTTATAAGGAGTAATAACCAACAAAGACACCTTCCACACTCCTTGGGTTAAGTGACTGTGAACATGGAGAAAGACTGAGCAACCAAATACTCTCAAATCAAGATTGGAAGAGGCATAAGCCTTAGGGAAGGATTTTTGTAGGACCACTAGAAGTGTTTGAAATTTTAATACCTGTGAAGGTAACCGATTAATGAGATAGCAGGCTGTTAGAATTGCATCACCACAGAAGGATTTGGGTGTATGACTTTGAAAGAGTAGGGTACCTCTAGCAAGTGACTTTTTTTTATTTCCGAAATGCCATTTTGTTGAGGGGTATTAATGCACGAGCTTTGGTGTATAATACCATATCTTCTGGTGAATCTAGACATGGCCGAATTGAAATACTCGGTGCCGTTGTTTGTTCGAAGGATTTTGATCTTTGCATCATATTGTGTAAGGATCATCGAATGGAATTTTTCAAAGATACTAACAACTTCAACTTTGTTATGTAGAAGATAAATCCAACAAACTCGAGTATGATCATCAACGAATGAAATAAACCATCTTTTATTAGAAATTGACAGGATTTTTGAAGGACCCCATACATCACTATAAACTAGGGAAAATGGAGTCGACGCACTATAGGTATGAATAGGAAACGGGACTCTAGTATGTTTGGACATCTGATAGAGTTCGCATGAGAAAACATCAGACTCGTTAAATAAAGATGGAAATAGTTTCTTAAGGTACGAAAAACTAGGGTGGCCGAGTCTTTGATGAAGAAGGTTGATTCGTTGGTACCGATCTAAGGTAGTAGATCCATGAACTAGAAAGCTTGTGGCAGATCTGGATGGAAGGAAGTAGTATAATCCAGAAGTAGCATGTTTTCTGGTCATTAGAAGTGCTCAACCATGTCCCTGTACCAAAAATTATTGAAATTTCAGCATTGATTTATAAAGCTGTCTGGTTTTTCCCTGTTGTCAAGAAGAGGCTCTTAGTCGCTTTATCATATCTTACCAAACATGGCATTCAATTGTATCTTTTTAAAACAAGCTTGCTTGACTTGCAACATGCAGGTTCGATGTGTCATCAGAAATATAGTCAGAGACTGGGCTACTGAGGTACCTCACTGATTCCTTCTCTAACTCTTTGGTTCTCTCCTATATATGTACAATGTTCACATCAATTTTCACCAATGTAAGAACACAAGAGGAACAAAACCTCAAGAACATAATTGTTGTTTTGGCTTCTAAACTCAGGGGCAGAAGGAACGAGACCAATGCTATAGGCCTATTCTTGAAGAGCTTAAACGCCATTTTCCTGAGCGCAGTAAGGAAAGGTGAATAGTGTTTTCTTTCCCCATTAAAGCAACATACTTTAAAAATTACACTCTTTTTTCATCGTCAACCTTCTTTCAACCATTTAGTAGAATTTGTCTTTTACTATCTCATTGTGTGGAGCTATAACTGAAAATCGTGTTTCATCGTTTTTGTAGCCCTCCGACTTGTCTAGTTCCAGGGGCTGGATTAGGAAGGTTGGCCTTAGAAATTTCATGTATAGGTATGCATTATAGTTTAATTCAAGTGCATTCTGAAAAATATTTCACTAGAATGCTAACATACTTTTATCTGTTAAACAGGTTTCATAAGCCAAGGAAATGAATTTTCATACTACATGATGATCTGCTCTAGTTTTATTCTTAATCAGTAAAGCTGCTCTTATGATCTCTTACTTATCTCACCTACTCATTTATTCTCAATCTGTACTTCATTACTTTCATGTTTATATTAACTTTGTCTAATTATTAATTTTGTCATCAGGACTCAGGCTGTCGCGGAATGGACTATCCATCCATGGATTCACAGCAATTGCAATTCACTGTCTGATACTGATCAGCTTCGTCCAGTCTCTGTTCCAGATATTCATCCTGCTGGGTAACCATTTTGCTTATGATATTCTTGCACTTTTCTGGTTCCTGTAAGTTGTTCTTTTTAGGTTATCTGGGAAAGTAAAATATGATATGACCGGTTCTTCTTGCCACCCATTATGTCTCAATGCTTATCAAGTCTCTGGTTTCCAATTCACCAACCCATTTGAAGTTTAAGCTGCTAGATAAAGGGCACAACAACTATCTCAAACCCTTAGGGTGCGTTTGGTTTGCGGGAATGTTTTTGAGGGATTTGGATTCCCTTGAGGGATTTGGATTCCATGGGATTTGGATTGGATTAGATTTGAAATCCATTCCTCTGATTGGTTTGTAGGATTTGGTTTTTAATACTTCGTATAATTTTTTTAACCTATTCTGTGTTCATGAGATTTCAACCTAATCTGTCAAAATTGAAGGATTTAACCTAATCTGTATTCATGTATATTCAACCTAATCTGTCAAAATTGAAGGATTTAACCTAATCTGTGTTCATGTATATTCAACCTAATCTGTCAAAATTGAAGGATTTAACCTAATATGTGTTCATAGTTTAGAGAGAAATCCAAAAGGGGAAAATGATTTACCTGTTGACGATAGGCGACGGAGACGAAGGGCGATTGTTGACGAAGGGCGACGAAGACGAAGGGCGACGGTGGTGGCAACGGAGACGAAGGGCGACGGCGACGGTGAGCAACGGAGACGAAGGGCGACGGCGGTGGCAACGGAGACGAAGGGCGACGGCGACGGTGGCGGTGGCAACGGAGACGAAGGGCGACGGTGGTGGCAACGGAGACGGAGGAGATGGCGATGTAATCTGTGATGAAGGGCAAGAATGAAGGATGAAGGAGACAGCGATGAATTCGGGCAAGAATGAAATCCCACGGGAATGGATTTCAAATTCCGTGTATTTTCAAAGGATTCTCAAATCGAGTGTTGGTGGGATTTTAAATGAATTCCGGGATTTTAAATCCGACCATTTCTACAAACCAAACGCAGGATTGGAATGGATTTCAAATCCAAATCCCTCCAATTCCTGCAAACCAAACGCGCCCTTATTCTTCTTCTTTTTTGACCCAATCATTCTTGGAGAAAGTATCAAGGTGTAACACTAGGTTCTGACCAGAGAGAGACCATACCCGGGGAGCTAATGCAGCCAGAATATGCAATCTTCTGAAAACAAAGCCTTTTAGAATATGTTAAATTACAACAATCAACATTCAGAGATCATTCTATTTTGTAGTTCAACAATAATATGGGCTTTTAACATCACAGTAATGATCAAAGTTACTATACTCATTTAAAAAGGTCGTATCAGGCCATAATCATCATTATATAATAATTAGATGTTCACTATTTACTGAAACATGTGATTAGAAGTGATAATCTTTCAAAGAGGGCTAGAAGCATGTACTTTGGTATTTGCACCATTTATATCTAATTTTAGTAAGAAAAAGTAATGTTTTAGATTTCGTTTCAATTTCAAGTACAATATGAAGACTTACAATCAGTCTTACAAGTTTGAAGAGGTTACCAAACAAGAACTGTTTATAAGGAGCACTTTTAGGTTCTATGGTATGTTTCTTTCTTTTGGCCCATTTTTGTCCGATTACATGATGAATTGTTTTGCTATATGTTCGTTAAAGACACTTGAGCAATGGTAGGTCTGGCTATTTGTAGATAAGGAAAATAAGGGTATCATTTCAAAAAAATTGCCTAGACAAGATATGCCTTATTTGCAAGGGTAAACTTTGTGATGCTTGGGCAACCACTTGGTAGAGATTGGCCAGCCCCTGTTTTTACATTACCAAACATTCGCACCTGACATTTCAGGCACCACTTTGAGCACAATCAATATTACTATGCCATCCGGTCTATACATTTGCGTCGCCTATGATTTCTGAGTTCTTTGATTGGTCCTTCCAAAAGTGACTTAGAAAAACTTTCCCATAATTAGACACAATGGAATCTGGTACGCATGGAGTTAAACCACTTCTTATACAAATGCTTCAACAATCTTAAGGAATGTGAAAGGGTATTTCAACATGATGAAATGGGCATATTTGATCCAACATCTACCACCACCAAAATCCCATTTGTCCTAACGGATGTGGGCAATCCTTCAACGAAATCTATGATAACCCCCACCTAAACACGAAGTGGAGGTGATGGATAAATGTTTGCTCTTTTGGCATATGATACACTTCTTGATGAGTTTGCCAATATCCATCCTCATACCAACTCAAAAGACCTCACCTCTGAGGCAATGCGACAATGCGCTGGTAGGTATGATCTTCTCAAGAGTGGCCCCTATGGGAGAACTGTGAAATTCTTCAAACAGGAGGAATCATGGTGGAAATTCTCGATTGTATGAGCCGTTCATTGTAAACTAAGCCTTGCCGAATGGAAACCCCATTGTGAGACTCCATTTGGGTCACGATGTCCTTTTTAACACCTTTAAGAAAAGGATTGTGTTCCCCTTCTTTGGTGACATCCTACTGTCGCAATTGAGGGCCCCAACGAACACACATTAAGTGATCTGAAGTTTTTGGACAGCGCATCGGTTGCCTTGTTACTATTGCTTGCGCGATAAACAATCTCAAATTTATTCCCCAAGAGTTTGCTGACCCACTGTTAGTACTCCGACTCGATGGAACGAAGGCTCTGCTTGTCAGCGCGCACCACAAACTTCTTGCCCAATAGATATTCTCTCCATTTTCGGACAACCTGCACTGTTGTCATCAATTCTTTCTCGTGAATAGTGCCTTGCTCTAGTGCCCAAGACTTGGCTGAAGTAAGCAATAGGTTGTTCTCATTGCATCAAGACAACACCCATCCCATAGCCTAAAGCATCCGTTTCGATACAAACTCTTGAGAGAAATTGGGCAGCCGCAAAACAGGGGTTGTTGACAACACTTGTTTGAGTTCTTGGAATGCCTTCTCTGTATCATCATTCCAAGCAAATTATGTGTGTTTCAACAAGTCCGTTAAAGGACTAGCTATCTTCCCATAGCCGGCTACAAACATGCGGTAGTACCCCGATAATCCCAAGAAACCCCTTAACTCTGTCACAGTGTTGGGTTGTGGCCATTCTAACATAGCACCGACTTTTGCCAAATCCATTTCCACATCATCCTTGGGAGTAACATGACCCGAATATCTTGTAGTCTGGCCAAACTTACATTTTTTAAATTAGCAAATAGTTTGTGTTCTTGTAAAATACCAAACACTGTGGTTGAGTGACTACTGTGCTCCTCCATACTGCGGCTGTAAACAAGAATATCGTCAAAAATAGCAACAAAAACTTCCTTGGGACTGCATTGAAAACCTGTTTCATCGACCCTTAAAAAGTTGATGGAGCATTGGACAACCTGAATGGCATAACCAAGAATTCATAATGTCCCTCGTGCGTTCTGAATGCTGTTTTGCGCACATCCTTCTCTTATTGTTTTTTGGTGATAGCCTGATCTCAAATCCAGTTTAGAAAACATATATGGCTCATAGAACTCGTCCAACAGCTCGTCTATTACAGGGACGGAAACTTATCAGGCACTGTACTCTTGTTAAATGGCCGGTAATTGATACAAAATCTCCAACTTTTGTCCTTGACTAGCGACACGACTTTGGAAAAAGTGTGGCTGTGCTGGATGATTATGGCAGCAAGCATTTCTCTGATCATACGTTCTATCTCAAGTTTTGGTAGTGTGGATAGCATTAGGGACGAATATTTACTGGCCAAGCCTCTGGTCGTGTCATCGTTCCGACGGTTCCCCAACAGGGACTTCAAAACCGTCTTATGTTCATCTAACACCTCTACACATCCCCCATGGGCGGATCGATTGTGGGCATTAAACCCAATTCCACAAATAATCCCTGTTGTTCATGTTTTAAATCTTCCTGATAACTTTCATTGACGCCAGTGATGTATCACCTTTCAATGTTATCGAGTTCTTCCCTATCTGAATTCAATCACCTGTGTTTTCCAATTCGCGTATGTGGCACCATTGTCTCCAGCCACTGGATTCCTAATATCACATCAGAATTCCCCAACTCCAGAGGAACAAATTCCACAATCACTTCTATTCCTTGAATACACACTTTCACCTCCCTGTACACCCTCCCCCTTGACTGCTGTTCATGTTCCCATGGAAATTGAGGCACTGAGGCAGTGGATCCCATGGGCCAAGCTGTTGTACCGGCGATTTCAATATATCGTTGTCGATCAGCACCACGATTTTCTGATCACCAATAGCACCCATCATTTTCGTTGTTGTTGGTTTAGTAAGGCCTACGGTAGAATTAAGGTTTACCTACACGTTTGGCTGTTGTGTCTTAGAATTCTGTTCTTCCTCCTCTTGTCCTGTATTGACTTCCTCATCCTGGAACACAAGACACTTACTTTTTTTTTTGCACACTTTGTGGTCGGGAGCAAATTTTTCATTGCATCTATAACATAATTCTTTTGGTCTTTTTTTGTTCAACTCGTCATTCGATAGCCACAAAAAATCCGTTCCTCTTTTTCTGGGGATGTTCGACGTCTTTCTTGCAATAGTACCTTGTTGAATCCTCTTGAAAGAGAGGGGTGCCTTCGGGAACGCGGACACAGGTGGTGACCTTGCTGTTTGATGGTACCCCGTCATTCTCTTCCCTCACCATGTTCCTTGTCCTCCATGCCTATTCACTACCCGATTCTTCTCATCAATTTCGCCGCCAACTCCATTGCTTCTCCTTAATTAATAGGTGACAGAATTTGCTATTTCGCTAGCACCAGGGGATCTAGTTCATTTACAAACTGACTAAGGAAAATTTCCTTGGGAATTTCGTCAAGGGGTAAGGCTAATGATGCATACCTCTTACAGTAATCCCCCATCTTTCCACTCAGCTTCAATGGCAAAAACTGCTCACACAATGTTCCTTCAGCCATGGATCGAAATCGCTTCAGGATCATTCTTTTTAGTTCTTCCCATCATAGGATTGGCCTTTGTTTGTGTTCCCATTGAAACCACTTTAGTGAGATCACCACTTCTCTCAGTCTTCTTTTACTTGTAACCTTAGCTTTAGATGCCCTATCATAGATTCTCGAACCTCCACAGAATATCCAAGCATGCGTTCTTTCTCTCCTCCCTCAGCCATAAGAGTCATCTTTCACCCTCTTTTTCCTATTTTTTTAGGCATCACCTTTTAAAGAGATGAAAGATATATCGATTTGTTGTTTTGGACTCAATTGGTTAATTGCAAAGCAATTGTAACATCCTCAAATCTGGAAAGAGCGACTAATTTAAAATCTTTGTAATACATCAATTGAAGGATAAATTTCTTTCTATCGGACAATACTCAGATTACCTTAAATGGCTCTTTATTCTCATTTCTTTCTCCTCTGTGTCTATTCTTTTCTCTTCATCTATTCTCTCTTCCGACATATGTTCCTAGTCAAACTGGTTTCAGAGCTAAAGCAGGAATTGTCGAGATTTGCTGCAATGCATTTCTAAAACATAAAAAAGGTCTTCCCAAAACTGTAGCCAGTTCTATATTTTTGTCAATAAATCCTTATTTCACCATTTGAATAATTTGCAACATAGGAGGAGGTGCTTTGTTCTCTTTAGTTTATGGGAAGGAAGGAGGCAGCATCGCAGAAGGTAGTTGTTTTCTTAGCTGTAGTTCAAGAGAAAGATGTGGAACTCAAAGCACAATTTTTAAAAATTTCCTGCCACAATCACCGGGAAGATTACCTTAGTTCTCTAACTGAAGCTACCGTACTCTAGACTGACACAACTAAGCTCAAGAAGATGAAATGTCAAGGGTAAGCGACAAGTAGAAAAACAAGGATATAAGTATACAATTGTAAATTTGGAAATTTTACAAAATTTAGACACGACTTTTTTTCTGTTTTTCTAGCTGATTATCTGAGGCAATGGTAAATCTGAAGTTTGTTTCTTTTATTATGTTCGGGAAAGTTGTGTATGTGAATTTTCTTTGAAAATTTTCAAGCTTGATGTCATGCATCAGTTTTCATGGTTGCTCATTCTGTCACTATAAAACTCGAGAATCATTTGTTTCTAATGAATGGGAGATTGATGGCTAGACAAGGGTGTCAATGGATTCTAAGATATTAATATTTTAATATTTGTATTGTTACTCAGATAACTGTGTGTGTGTGCATTCAACAGAAATGCTAGTGGACAAATATAATATAGGAAAATGTGAGATCATTATTCTGGGTTTATATTTGATTAATTAGCTTTTTCTTCAGCTTTGTTACTTCTGTTATCTAGTGTATTGTTAGGATAAATTACATTTCTAGGTTTTATTTCCATAACATGCTGTTGACTGAATGATGCGTCTGTTGTAAGATATTTTGGAGGTGGCCTAGTGTTGTAATAAGGTTGTACATCTATAGGATATGGGTCCGACACAGGCGGTGCAATACATTCTACCGTCTCTAAAGTGCACTCCCTAATTTACAGTGTTATGATCCCCCCCCCCTCTTTCTTTATCCTCCAAATTAATTTGTTTATTTTGGTTGACAGTGCAGGGATTACGGAAGGTTTTTCTATGTGTGGTGGTGACTTTGTTGAAGTATATAGTGACCCATGCCAAGTAGGTAGGCTGAATACACAAGATCATTCAGTCTTCCTTTGTTTTCTTTTTTATGATATGTATTGCCTTTTATTGTTCTCTTTCTTTTGGTAGATGCAGGTTTATGCTTTGATTATTTGGTAAGATATAATACAAACCTTTGGGTTTTGCTGCCAGCTAATATACCATGTTTTGAGAACCTGAAAAGGTTATTCGGTGGATAAGCTTCCAGTCTGATTGTAGTTTAATTGCATTGTAGGACAGCAACGACCACCAATATGAATAAGGGCCACAAGGCTATCCCTCCGCTTTGAGTGTATGTAGAAAGTAGCAATGACCACTCTGACCTAATGTTGGATGGTAATTGCTGAATCGTATGTGTATGGACATGTCTGATTGAATATCTGGTTACAGGCTAATATAGAATATTTGTTAGCTAAAATGGTATCATGATGTCCCAATGCAACTAACATAACAACTAATATACCCTACAAGTAGTGTGCCTCTTTGAAGCTTTAATCTTTGATTACTTGCTATATCAATTTGAATTTGATAGAATGCAAAGTATCTTAATATTGCAGTGCAGAAAACTAATAAGTCTAATGCATCGAGAGTCACAAGCCATTTCAAGTGTTTGTGTTGCTGAGAAAGGAGAATATTTCTTTCTCCATAAATGCATCATGTGGTAGCACCCTTGATATCTCAAGGCATGCCCATGGACTAGCAAACAGTAATCAGATATTTTCTCAAAGAGTTCTAACTTGTTCCACCACCAAGGAACTAGATTCTATTAAGCCTCTACATTCTGTATGGTGTACACATCAACCTGGATTTTCGTCACCATTAAACTATATTCACATACCACAGATGATATTATATACCTAGAATTATTATATGGCCCCTTCTGAAATTAATCCTGCGAAGGATCATGCATATAGTTACACAGCGGCAACGTCTGATCTAGTACAAAAAAGATAATTGATCTACACAATATTTGGTATTTTGCTTTAACCTTAGAAGCTCGCATGCCAGAAGCGGCTGCAATTGAGAATTCAATAAATCAACATGTCTGTTGCCTGTCATATAGATTTCTTCATAAAGATAGAAACCTTAAAAGTCTCTTGCAACTCCAATCTCAAAACAATGAATTTCTCTTAAGGCTTTTTCATTCTGTTTGCTAAGCTAAGATGGTTTGTCTTTATGCCAACATTTTGGAAATGTTTATTGGACTGAGCTTTGTTCACTATTTTGGGATATATATTATAGAGTAAAAAATTCAGGGTGTATGGAGAATAATCATCCACTTTGTGAATTACAGAAACGGATTATTGTGCTTTCATGCTTAAGAAAATAGAAGTATGTACATGACAATTGGAAAAAGGTGAATTTGTTGAGTGGGTTCATGTTATATTTGTTTGTTAGTTTCCTTCTAAACCTTTATCGACTAGTAAAATATTTTCTTCCCTATGATCATCGTTAGAGGATGTTAGGTCGTTTTCATGCTCGTAAGCTTGTCTGCAGTTAAGAAATTTATAATCCATACATATACCTTGTAAATAAGTTTCCTTCATTAACCCAAAGAGGTACCGAACAAGATATGGTTTTGTACATTGATGTCATCAAGTCCAAGAATGATTTTAAGTTATAATTTGTTAGCTGGAATATATTGTTGTTAGATTTGCTCACCATATCTAGAGCATTTATTGACATGAAGTTACTGATGGACACTGGTTAACTAAAGAAATCTGACTCAACCCCTATGTCAAGAACTGCAAATGTCTCCTGTTGTTCTCTAGAAAAAGAAAATAACAAGTATTCAGTTGATACACATGCAAGTAGGACACTGGGACTTATTCAAAGCTCTAGTCAATTATGGTCACAAACCTGATAACATAGTGGAAAATTACATTTTGATGTAGCTCCCACTTTGATCGATTTGTGCAGTTTATAAAATTAGTTCAAGTGGACACTGATGATGAGCCTTTTATGGCACTTGCAGGAACTTGGGATGCAGTTGTAACCTGCTTCTTCCTTGATACAGCACACAATATTATAGAATATATTGAAATCATTTCAAGAATTCTTAAGGACGGGGGAGTAAGTAGTTCAATTCTTTTCTCGTCTAATACATTTTTTTCCTCGTAAGGAATTAATAAATTTCTCTGTTGGCAGGTCTGGATAAACTTGGGTCCCCTACTTTATCACTTTGCAGATATGTATGGTCAAGATGATGTAAGCATTTCTTTTAACACATGCAATTTCATTCGCGACGACAAATAAAATATGTGATTTATGTATTTCACATTGCTTCTAATCTTCTATTGTCGTATTTCACTAGGAAATGTCAATTGAGTTAAGTTTGGAAGATGTGAAAAGGATCGCAATCCATTATGGATTTCAGTTGGAGGTCAAGCACAATTCCCCTCTTATCTTTTAGTTAGTTTTCTGTAGTGATCTTTTAAAGTAATTAGTGTTTATGTTCTGGAGAACAGCTCGAGAAGACCATTGAAACGACCTATACTACAAATCCCCTAGCAATGATGCAAGTATGTTTCTCAACTCAGGCAGTCTCTTTTATCTTGTGTGATAGTATTTTTAATATTTAATATTATCTCCGCCCTATTAGGAATCAAGATCAGTTGTTTTTGAAAATTAACCAGAATTATTATTCATCATTGTTATTTTATTTGTAGAAAAATTGATGATTACGTTAACTATATTAAAAGCATAAAAAGCCTCTTTTAGATTACCAAACCAAAAAGTATGAACCCAATATATGCCACTCAAGAGTAGGGTGGGTGTGTACACAGACTTTTTCTTAGAGCGGCTGTTTCCATGAAGACCCCAGGCTTGTGCAAAAGTGTGAGCGAAAGGACAGAAGAACCAATTTCTTTTTACATTGAGACATGCAAAATATTTGAATTTATTAAGTGAAATTTTGATTTTCTTTTACATGGGAGAGGTAGTAATAAAGATGGTTTTTGTCAAGTATTGCTGCATTATTCAGAAAAATACTTTAAAAAGAGAGATGCATCACCTCTCATTCCATATGAAAAATTCTTTCTTTACCTTCTGTTAAAAAGTGTTCTACAAGCTAGAATATTTGCAATATTTTCACAGAACTTGTGGAAAAACATATTTGTCCCCCAAAAGATCTGTATTTGATTTTAGACCATCAAGTTGATTGCATCTAATGGTAAAATAATAAAACTGTATTCAACAACAAAAAATTGTTGAAGATGGTTGGTTCACTTCTGAAATACTACTAGTGTCCCAAAATCAGAGATACACACAGACGTTTTGGTCAATCAGATCATTTTTCTACTCAAGTCAAATAACTACATGTGTCTTATCATTAGCATCACTATTTTCTTTCTAATTCATGATAGATGCACATTTCTTATACTCCAGATTCGAAGAAAACCAAATCAATTTAAAACCCTACCGGTGACTGACTTTTTTGACCTTGAAAGTCAAAAATGTACATGGAAATTTGGAAGACAACATCTTTTTCCCTATACAATGGAAAATCTTGCTACCTTCCTTTCGAGTGCGCATGCCATTAGACTATATATTGGGCTATCTAGAAGGTGAAACAGGAAGAGTAGCTTACATCAACCATAAAGCCCATTCTATCCTGCTGCCCTGGATGAGGTCTTTACGCCTAGTCATTTTGAATACACTGCTTTGATACTCTCTTCTATATGTAAAATCCAAACCAATCAAAAACCCTTAAACATGGTGAAAGTCAAAATGTCATTCGGAGGCCATGTTTGGCAACTATAAGTTAGTTTATTCATTGAGCTTATTGAAAAAGCCTTGTTTGATAAGCCATAAGCTTTCTTAGCTAGGTTTTTGATCTACTTTGGATTGCTTATTGGTTTTTTTTGCAACTTTTTTTTCCCAATGCCCCCCCCTTATAGGTCATTTTATATTATCATCTAGCTAATTAGCTAGATTTTATGGAATGTGACTACTTTATTAGATAACTTATTATAGCTAATTTCCCAAACATAGCCAAAATTTGAACAAATGGCAACTTTTCATATATGAACCTGTGGGAGGGTACTCTGACATTTCTTTCTTGTATCTGCAGAATCACTATTTTTCAGCATTTTGGACAATGCGGAAGATTTCAATTATAGATGAGAACATGCATGAATGAATCAACATCCACATCATATACATGGATCTATGTACGCTTGTTTCTGATTATGCATACATGAACCTTGAAAGGTGTCGCTAACTATTCTTATGACTCACAAAGTTAAAAGTTGCATCATTCATGACAACTAGTTATAAATTAATCTCCTCAAAATAGATTTGGACTTGAGTTTGTTAAGGACTGAGAATAAACTTCATGTTTAGAACAAAAATTTGTACGTGCTTGTCATAAATTCAACGTTCTACGGTTCAGCAAATTAGATGGTCTTTTTGGTACCTATGGGTGTTCGGCAGCTTGCATGCATCTTGACTGATCTCATGGGGCCTAACAGCCAAACAAACCCTCCAGCAGACCTCAAGGGAGTTGAACTGGTGACCTCGGTGTAACAACCCCAAATCCATACATTGCATATAACACATATTTCATACATAGAATACATGTTTTCCCCACAAAGGTCCATAATACAAGAGTCTATAACGTGAAATACATAACTCAAAAATTCAAAAAGTACATGCTCTTGTATCCTAGCATCTATG